GACTGTTGAGGTGGGGGGTCGCGGGGGAGCAGCGTATTTACAGTATGATGGGGGTCATGGGCTAAAAACTTTGGGAACCACTGAGCTAATACATATTAAAGCCTGTGTTACCTTCATATAAGCCTTATACAAGGCTGTTTTTTTTTTGGGACAGATGTTGTTTTATGTTTTTTTGTCAAATATAACCTTTTGGGTTCCCGACCCCTGCACTAGGGCGTTCCATCAGGAGCAGTGGTCGCCGTAGGACAGCGCCCGGGGACTCATCTTCAGATGTTGATGCTCGGCTTGGTCAGGACTTCCAGAGCTGCAGGATTCTACATATTGTCCATGTTTTGAAAGGAAGGGGAAACCGTAGCACCTGGAGGAAACTGAGCACCTGGAGGAAACCTACACAGTCAGAGGGAGAACAAGCAAACTCTAGACGCTGTTCCGACTGGGTTTTGAACCCAGGACCTTCTTGTTGAAAAGCAAGAGTGCTATTCACTCAGCCACCTTGCCACCGAGAACCTCTAACTACGATATGCGGAACTCAACCCACTAATAAGAAAAGCAGATTTGTCATTACACTGCAGAACACAAACCAAACTGATATATAAATTACACAAATCATGTTTGAAGTCCTGCTCAAAATAAGGCCTGAGTTTAAATGTAGAATCATGGAGAAGATAAAATGAAAAAATCAATTGTTCCAGATGGCTGTCTCATCAACATGCCTTGTGCCTTTAGATTTGTTTTGCAAAAACAATAAACACATTTGATTGGCCGTGTCTCCTGCATACACCACAACATCTTTACAGAAATTTAAAAACAAGTGTTTCATATTCAGCAGCTGAGACGGAGTCAGAACTCGGATTGAATGTTGTTGATTCATTGCTCTGCCCTATTGTACTGTGGAAAGTTAAAACACAGAGAGGAACTAGGGCTGTGCTTTCCATGATTTAGCTTTTTATATTGGATAACTTATAATAACAATTCATTTTTTTCATTTTCACTTATTCATTTATTCATTTATTTCAGGCAATGGCACAGGTGAGTAAATAAGGTAATTAAATGCAGTAAACAAACAAAACTCATTAAACAAAAAAAAATAATACACAAAAAAAATCTATAAATAAATCAAAAATGAATGCAATAGTGTTATTTTTTTTAATGGACTTGTGTATGGATGGAATTGCAAGTCCCCTGTATCTATAGATATGTATCATATCATATCATTTGTGTGAGGTACATTTGCTTTTATATTTGTGTGTTCACCTGCACAGAGACTACAGATTGAAAGTAGCTGCAGCTAAACCTGGTGAAAATCATCTCTTCTTTTGTAAAGACGAATGGTTTTTGTACATTGTCTCTGTTTTATAAACAATAAACTAAACTAAACATATAGTGTCATGCAGATTGACCCAGTCATAACAGGAACCACATCTTAACTCCACAATACTGTCTATTTTTGCTGCAGGGAAACAGATCATTTAATGGATGTCCCATATCCTAAAGAAGACAAAAATTGCATGCAATTACATGTCATACTGTATTCTAACCAGAGCTGAAGAGTAATTCAATTTGGAAAGACTCAAGTTAGCATCAGAATTATATTTATTGGCTTGTTTTTAGGAATATATTATAACTGTATGATTAGACAATTAGACCCAGCAGACGCATGATGTGGTAATAATATTGTTCAATAAGGTTTAGCAATGTGAGGACTGAGAGGCTCTGTTTAGGGGCAGCCATGAAGTGATGCTTATGAGCTCAGGTACAGGTGTGTAGCAGAGGGAGGACTCATGCAGCAGGTGAGCACTGAGAACCATATCTCCCAGCTGCAGATATACCAGCGTTAGCTTCCTGGTATATCTGCATCATCACCAAAACATGTTTATAAATGTTTATAATTGATGTACTTATGTGTGACATGCATGTGTTTTCTGCTGCTGGACACCTGAATGGCTCCTATGGGGATCAATAAAGTATCTATCGATCTATCTATCTATCTATCTACCTAAATCCAGACCACCACAAGGTTGCATCTTTGGACCACACATTAAAGATACTGACTAACTGACTTACACCAAGACCAAGTGGAGTTTCAAGCCCAAACAGGCATAGAGGGAAGGTGGCACCTATAAACTACTTTGTGAGTTTGTTGTCTTAGAGCAACAGCCGTAACTGATTCTATTAGCATCTGACCTTTCCCCATCGAACAGCCACAATGTATTCAAAGATAGATGCACAATGCCACCACTCCACACCACCAAGGGCTCCAAATCATGTCCAGTTTGTCAGGGGCAACGCAGTTTGACTTCAAGCTGGTTTTCAGCTCAAAACATGTAAAGTATTTTCCTATCTTAGAAATTGCTTTTTACTGTAAATAATGCAGCATGTTCACCGAGGCTTCTTTCATGCTTTTCAACTCACACTGGTCCCCTAAAAATAATAAGTCACAGTTTTGCCCTTTGCTTGTTTCCCTCCATTGTTAACCATTGTCTATGCAAGCAAAATGTCAGCATTACCGGCTCCAATGAAAGGGCAAAAGAAAATTTACAACTCCGCAATGACAACTTTATGAAGCTAATTCAAAGCCTTCGTTAAGCTGCATTTGCTCTTTTATCTGAATTTAAAGTGGAGATGTGTTTGCAATCACAACAAACGATAGCTTAATGTCAAACAGAGGATAACTCTGCGTCATGGATGCGGTCTGCTTTCTAATATCGGGGAAGCAGCTTCACGTCAAGTCTATGAAAGGTTCTAACAGATGTTTTAGAATGTTAGTCATCTCTACAGTGAAGTTGTCACCACCTGCCTAAGTCGAAACGATGTGTCAAAATACAAAAAGACACGTTAAAAATGATCTAATTACAAAGACAATGTAAAATTGATTAGCTGTGGTCACGTCAACGCAGCGATCGCATACCTTGAATTCTGAAGGCTGGTGTTAAGAGAAAACACGAGGCACAATGTTGAGGAGGAGACAAGAGTTTACTGAGTTTAGCGGTGCACACAACCTTCAGAGAGGTGTTTTTGAGATTCCCAAATCTTCAAAATGGTTTTGTAAGGATTGGCTGTCGGGAAATAACACAGTAATTGCTGCACATGTGCCAGGATGAAGCTGTCAAAGCTCTCTCTCTCTCATGGTAGCAATCAGATGGGATAAAGTAGCACTATGATCAGCCATAACTAAATTATGAACTATAAAATATCCATACAGTATGTGCTTCACTTATTTTCCTCTATTTGTGCACACAAATTAATATGTCAAATCCAGAGAGAGTGTACTTAGAAAGATCAAGGGAGGGGGTAACTAAAATAAGTGTGAATAGACAAAATACAATTTGTTGCAGAGACACTTCCTGGTGCACACTGAGGTAGTTTTGCACAGTTTTTCCAATGTGGTTTTAATGCAAATAGCAAATAAATTCTTGAATTAATCTTGAATCTCAAATCTTTATAAACAAAACCAGAATCTAATATTTGTGTTTTTAGTTGTGTCAACATGCCATTTACATTTCAGAAAGCTCCAGGGAAGAAGTAAATGATGAACTACTGTAATATGTAAAAAAGAAATACAAATTTGTTATGTATTTTCATTGCTTAGTTCTCAAACAAATATCACAAATATTGCGATAATATCTCTTGCTGACTTTGGCTTATTTATATAGCACATATCATCCAACTCAATGTGGGAAAAATCAACATTCATCAAATAAATACACCTCAAAATAAAGGGAGACTATGGTTTATTCTTGAATGAGCTCAGAACACATATTATGAAGAGTGTTCTATTTACAAGGAGCATAAGTTTTACCATCTTAAGCAAGTATTTGTAAAACTGAGGATCCCCAGTATAAAGCATAATTATTGTATTGTATATTGTAATACAGTATATCCCTGCCTAAAAGCACACAAGTCTGTTCAAGATACAATAGGCTCTATAAGCAGTACACAGATACTCACTGCTGCAAATCCCATTTCAACCGTACAGTAGGAATCATCATTATCAAAAGTGACTATGTATAGGTGTCTTGTGGTGTATAAAGCCACACACCTCCAGCAGTGTTCCCGTGGCTACAGTCTTAGCCTGCCATGCTTTTGAGGGGGATGACATGGATGTTGCTTTTTCTTTGATACAAGAGCCTGAATGCACTTCTGGAGTCTGCTTTGGGATAAATGTGCTCTATGTATAAAATGTCTGTCTTTCCATTGCACTACCTGGCAACCTGCCACATCCAGCTTCTCAAATGTTACCAGAAAAGCCAAATGAAAAAGGGAAAAGGGAATCAGCAATGTATCCATATAGTATCCATTCATTCACACAGAGAATATTGAGGAAGCTCTGAGGAAAACTAGACAGGCTTTGAGATTATCTTCGTGATTCATTAAAATAAACAATTTCATTTGTTACAGAATAGAGGAGGAGGTTGTGTTGACAGCGTTTTTAATTAGCAGCTACCGAATATAAAACGTATGCTAGCTCAAAAAGCATTACAGTATGACAAAACACCATGTACTGTAGATCACAGTGTTTCTTGATGTTACAAAGCGCACACACATCGTACACTGCCCACACAAGATAACGTGTTCAATTCAAGTGGAGAAAAAGATTTTTAATAAGAGCAGCTGTGGCAGGAAAGTCTGGTCTGCCTCGGCTGCCAGCCCTGTCATGTTAAAGTTTTAGAACAAATATAAACTCAAACATTAGGGATATAACTGTCGAAAAAGGACGTGTTCGGCTCAACTTTCGCACCGCCAAAATCAAGATGACAGGTACCACAAATTGGCCAAGTCTGTGTTTGCATAGTTCTAATGATTAACTTTTAAGATAAGCCTCGACTGTACAAAGATACAGAGTAAAGGTATTGACTTTGGAGCTGTGTTATGTAAGAGCAATTCAACTCATGTTTGCAAGTCTCTGGATGACGATTCCAAATAGGACCAAATGAAAACCGTCAAAAGCAGCACACTCAAATATTCAAGATCATATAAAGAGAATATGTAGGGAATAAAACTCACTTGATGAAGCATCGTGCCCCTTCGAATGTGTATCCCTCTTCCCATCCTGTGGGTAGATCTGTGGACAAGAGTTGGTGGATCAAACAGATGTTATATGTTGTGAATTACACTTGATCTCCAAGACGCAGTCCGACAGCTGTCATTGCTGTAAACGCTGCATATTGGCATTAAGCGGACACACTGAATCTTCAGTGACGTTGAATTTATATATGTGCAACATGTTAGTCTGTACAGCAGAATAGAATAAACGTGCAAAGTCCTGTGTTCTCAACCCTTGTGCTATCCTCAGGTGAAATTGACCCTCTTCTTTCTTAACTTGTCATTTAGACCCTAATTTAGTGTATGTCTACTTTTAATCAACTCTGGGTTAGATACTAATGGGATATTTAGACCTGAGGGTAGCACAATGGTTAACTTGAAATGGGGAGAACAATAAATAGATGTCAGAATATTGGCAATTAAATAGTATGAACAACAATTCCGACAAAAAGTAAGCTGCAAAACATACTATAAGTATAACCTATATACTGTACATAACAAGAAAATGTATACAAATTATTTGGCATATGGATATTGTAATCTGAAAGACGCCTCATCATTCAACATTGTCTCACACTTGCGATTAACCGTACGTCTCGCTTATTATGATTGTTAGAAATGATAAGTGGCTAACAGACCAGAGTGCGGACATTCCCGCGTTGATAAGCGTGCTGTCTTTACGTCATGTGCTCTCAGCTCAGACAGCGCAGTTTGTGAATGACTTCAGTGTGATGTAATGCCGCACAGTGCATCGATAAATCGCACACTGAAATGACTTTGCAGCTTAGCAAAAGTGTTTGCAGCGAGTTGACAGGTGGCTAGCGGCTGAAGAGGCAGAGATGTGGTCAGTCAGTCACTCCGGAGAGCTCCAGCACAGGGCTGTCATACTCGCGCGGTGGCCGAGGAGAGGCGCTTGGACCCCGTGGATGAGAGACGGGGACACAGCCAACACAGCACAGATATGAAGGAAAGTTGATCAAACTTGATGACCGCTCACCTGGAGTTTTCCTGTGGCCGGTGATCAGCGCCTCTCCGCTCACTGGATGCAGCCAGGTTGTACTCTTGGCTTCTTCGCTGGTAAGACACAAGCACAGTGGTTATGTCACGAAGAGAAAGCAACCATCATCACTTAAAAATTGTTTAGGTAGCGGATAATTACTTGACAAAGAAGAGCCGTCCGTCCCGAGTGACCCCGTAACTCCATGTAGACGGTAGGCACGATATCCAGTCGTGCTGTAGCTCCGCCGCCATGTCTGGCACTGGCACTACACTGTATGACAGCTCCGCGCGCCCTCCGCACGCGCCCTCCGCACGCGCGTCTACACCGAAACCCTGGCAACGAGAGGAGGGCATCCAACACGGTCAGTCCCGACACAAGACACAAACGACAGGAGAGGACAGGGCGTCTGATCGGGACCTGAGAGCCACGTCTGGATGTATGCCTTCATCAAGTGCAAAGATGCTGGTTCTTTAAAGTTGAGAGCCTTGATTTGGCAGAATACACAAAATCCTGCTCACAGCTGCCAAGTTCTTTTCCCCCTCTGTGTTTTGTTATTGGGCGCACGTAATGTCATTTGGCTCATCTGTGATAAGGGGCACACAGGTCACACGGACCTGTGAGGGCGCTCAGGGGCATGAACAGCTGCCCCCTCCTCACTGCAGCCACACGCCTTTGGAAGCAACATTTTCTCTATTAAATGATCATATCTTTCCAGTATGAAAGAATGACCACCTATAAACACTCAAAAACAATGAAATAAGTGCTTTTCTGCAATACTAACATAAACAATTTCTCACATTTAAATCAGAATTACATTAGCTACAGCCAATTTGTGTTAAGATCCTATAATCCCCTGACCTGATGCGTCAAAGCGGAGTCCCAGTTGGTGATGCCCTCCCCTGGGAACCCATTACTTGTTTATTCCGCCTACATCAGAAACCCGAGGACCTCAAAAGACAAAAAACAACACACATATTGTACTAATGACCACTATTTCAACTGTACTACTGGCCCCTCTGGTCTCCACCCTCGGGTCATTGTGAGGAGAAACTGTCTCATCAGCCTTTCACCCCACACAAAGAGAGACATCCAACACCACTGCGCCTGGACCATTGGGCATCACGTTGCATCCTACAGTTGTTACTGCACTGTGTTCATGTGTGTTTTTGGCAGGGGGGAAGTAGTGGGAGGCGAAACGCATCAACCACATGGTCAGGTAGGCTGTTCTTTTGGGACTGAACTGTAAGGAGGGGTTGGTGTTCAGAGAGAAATAGGCTCCTGGCCAAATGGCACAGGCAGACACATGGGTCTTTGTTTGTTTAGACCAATATTCATTCCTTCTGTAAACAGGAGAAGTAGCATGACATTTTGATAATGACCGAAACACCACATTTAACACTTTGTAAATGCACACTTGTATTATACACAGTAATGCTTTGGAAAACGAATTCTTTTTTCTCTTGACCAATAAATGCAATAGCACACTTTGCAGTTGACATCACATGCTCTGACAAACAGCTGCACATGAATAAAGTGCAATATTTTCAAGGGAGCAAAACCAAATGTTGACTCAACTTCTCTATGTGTAACATTATACTGAATTTACAGCACAACTTCACTCATCTGTGGAGCCCTAAAAAAAACATTAAAAACAATCATTTATCAAGCCTAGACTGTCCTCATAAGATTAATTAAAGTACAAAATTTAATGTAAACCACAATTCTCAGAGACCCATTTCTTCTGATTTGTGCAGCTTTCCTATAGAAATTATTGTAATTCAAATAAATGTGTCTGTCAAACAATTAATCAACAAAAGAGTTACGGTATTAGAGATTGCTTCCCGTTTTCCGGTCACATGCCTTTTATATATAACACAAAACAAACTTACTTTATCCTAATTTTGTCATGCCATTTTGTTAGCATACCAATCCTCCTCGGAGAGAAATCAATGCATATGAATTTGCAAAAGGTTGGCTGTGTGGTTTCCTGCAATAACTGCTAATTATTTCCAAAATAATCCAAGTCGTGTTGCAACAGGGATCTAAAAGGGGAACTCTCCAGCAGCATTTAGAGGCTCTACTCATGACTAAGCTTTCACCCTGTTAATAGGGCCCAGTGAAGTGGAAACGATGGGATTAGCGCCAGAGAGCTACCTGTATGTGCTTGAATACCTGTGGGAAGAGTCTGATCACAGATTTTGCTTTAACAGTTTACTCGTATCAGTATGTTTTACCATAGATCTGAATGGTGAAGTTAGAATAGAGACATTTGATCATTTACATGTTTAAAATCTAAAAATATAAGTGTCTTTTTTTCCCCGCTTTTTCCCCAAATGAAACTGTATGAATATAATTGGCACCCAAGTACATTTCATCTGAGCACATGGCACAGAGTCGATAATTATTCAATCAAGTTGTGATTGATCAATAAACAATTATCTTTAGTGTTATTATTCTGTCTTGTAACTTGTTTGCTGTCGTGTTCAAGATAGTATGGCATGGTATCTTGCATTTACATATTTGCAATATTCGATTTCACTTTTTTTTTTATTCTTCACCATATCACATACTTTCAGAAAAAATGAAGTTGTGTGAATATCTTTGTAATGGACACCCTATATTAAGCTATGTAAAGCTAAATGCGGTTCATTATGGTGCCACCTGTTTGTGAAAGCCAGATCTCGTTAGTCCTCTGAAGATAAGCAGGACAGGGCCTGGTTAATACTGTGATGGAAGACCTCTGGGAACAGCAGGTGCCACAGTAGGGCGACTGCGGCTTTTAAGTGCTATATTATTGTTGTGTCCTTAGGAAAGACACTTCATCCACATTTCAGAGAAGGACTCAGGTGTGTGCGTGAATGGTTAGTGGTGGTCAGAGCGCTCGATGGCACATACTGGTTGCCTCTGACAGTGAGCCCCAGGGCATAGTTGACATCTTTTATTCAGTCTCTAGATCCATATTATAAAAAAACAGAAAGCAGAACACAAACACCTAAAGACAAGACTCAAATCCAAACTCCTCGAAGCTAAATAACAGAAAAGCTTTGCCTTTCAAGCATTGTAGACGAATATCATAAATGCAATTAGTTACATTGTGTACCTTTGTAAATTATTCATGGATGTCTCTGTTTTTCTGCGCAGACCTTCATAAAATCCATCTTACCACGCAGCAATGAGTCAAAATCTCCTGATCACAAAAATTCAAAACCATGTGCAAAAAAAAAACGTCAAAAAGTGCAAAACTCCAGTCTTGTGTCCCACCAGCGCATTTCTGCCTTACAGGCGACAGTTGCCAAGGTGAGTAACTCCAAATAATCCTCCGTATCTTATCGACAGCATCCTAAACTCTGGTGAGAATGATTTGCCACCGGCTGCAGTGACGAGAGCTCTTTTGTTTCTTGGCAGGAAGAACAAGCCAAACACTGTGTAAGAGCAGCGTATTGTCGACCTGCACACGTTTATCCAAGCCTTTTATTGTTTGGAAGCAAATCTCTGGCATTCGATAAATGTCAATCACCACTTAAGCCCGGGCTGAGGAGTATTACGCTAAATTCCCACCGCTGGACATTTGAATTTCACTGTTTTCTGTTTCAACAAAAGTTTAACAAAATCCTTCCCATGTTTAATATTTGACGCTTTGGGCTGAGAGCAGGTTGGTCCTCTCCCCGTTCACTTTTCTGCCTGAAAGAAGATGTGACGGGCCTAAAATACTGTACCTGTGCTGTATGTGAAAGCTGATGAGAAAAACAAAAAACAAATATTGTTTGGTTCAAAGTCTCTAAGGTGCTATCTATTTACTGTTAGGTCAAGACACTGATGTTAACCCTAGAATATCAATAGAGTTGTAACATTTACTCAAAAATAGTCATTCTGAAGTTACAATCTTTTTTTTTTTTTTAAATCAGGCATCAGACAATAATGAAAGCTAATGTATCGAGATGCGTATTGGACAAAAAAAAAATATGGCTTGGTGCATCAGATACCCCAGCTTTAACACTTTCTGCAGGCCAAGTTTGTGTACAGGCCTACTTACTACTAGTACTATGTATATATTTGTTTTGTTCGTGTGAATGGATGTGTTTCTGCTGCTGGACACTTGAATTTCTCCTACGGGGGATCAATGCAGTATATCTATCTATCTAGTGAAAATAATATGTTCATGGAGACAAGGAGAAGCCTTCACCCCTAAAGTCACAACAGATTGGCAGGTTTTGTTTTTCTCTTATTTTGTTAGTTGAAACAGTTAAATATGAACGCATATATTCACACTTTTTGTCTCAGTGTTAGTTACACTAAGGCCTAAGCCATTATTACATATAGATATTGCATTTGGGCAAAAATATAGATCACTGCACAAACAGACAAACACATACACACGCTACAAGACAGATGTTTACTGTACAAAAAACACACACACCCACAGACACACACATATAAACAGATGATTAAGATGCATTGTCGTCTCGTGCCAGGATTTGTTCATGAGCCGATGTGAATTGCGGTCTTCTCACCTAATTGCTTTACCCGAAGAGGCCGGGGTTTCTCGGCTCAAAGACACAGGGTAGTCTGGAGGCATCCCTGTGTAATTAATGGTTGCACATTATCAAGCAGCTGTTCCAACGCTTTGTTCTGCTTCCAGCTCAGCAATAGCCCTGGTGCCTGTCAGTGCGACGTAACTCACCACCGAGCCACTTTCAATATGTGAAGAACATCTCTCCGTAGGCCCGTGACTTCTGCGGTCTGTCATTGAAAAGAAAAAGCACTTAGAGAATGAATGCAGCCATTATTAGAAGCGTTTATATCAGGCCTAATTGAGAAAACAATGATGTAATAAGCTATTGTTTGGAGGAGGAGGACTTTTTGTTGTGAAGAAATATCGCAATACATACAAAGTCATCTCAATTATTGGTGCCGATATGTGCGATTTCATTTACAACTAGCTAAGAAACATAATACATTTTATGATAACACATTTTATTCATATTGCACCTTACCTTTCCAGGAAACCTCAAAGTGCTACAGATACAAAATACAGTACAACAAACTAAATATAAACCTCCATAGCAGCTACTACTATTGTGTATTTTGTCTGCTCTTACTACTGTCCTGTATGTGCGCTGCAACATTGACATTTCCCCACTAAAGGACGAATAAATGTTCTCTTATCTTAAAACAAAATAATGGTTAGACACAAAAAAGTACTCTATTTTGAACACATAGCCTCATTGGACTGGTACGTATGAACCACAAGCGAGGGCTGCTATTATGTCCAGTCAAGTCAGCATGTGGGCATTCTGGAAAAACATTATCAACCACTAATTCTGTTCATTATACAGTTAGGATAGCTTTAAAACAAATGCAGAGCTATAGTCCACAGCGGGTCACCTGGCAAAGTGCACACCACAGTCTAAGGCCAAATGGGTAGATAAACAAAGTGCAGTTGAAGTTTAGGGGCGCCCCTTTTACACATACTGTATATAGGACCAAAGTATAATTGATTTCTTGTTATGTATATTCTATATTTACCTGATCTTCAGAAGATTCTTAATTCTTGAACCACATTTTTGTTTATGTCATAAAATCAAAGTAACCTATTCAAAACACTTAGGTCCAAAAGGGGCAGATGACATATATCCATAAAAGTTAATAAATAAACTAAATCCTCACTCTAGGCATTTTGGTTTGATTGCTAGTTTTCACATGAATGTATTTTTGGCCTCTGTGACGGCTTTTTCAGACAAAATGAAGTGAATCAATCAATCAATTAATCAATAAGATCTTTATTTGTAAAGCACATTTAAATAAGTTAAAAAATACATTAAAAAAAAAGAAAAAAAAATTTCTACCTGGTAATAAAAGCCAAAGAGAAAATCAGCCAATCAGCTCTCAGCCCAGTCAAATATTAACTCCCACAGCTATTTGACTCTTTGAGCAAGTATGCAAAAACCTGTTTTCTACTAAGATGCCCCTGTTGTGAGCTGATTTGTTCTCAGCATTTCACAGTTACAAGACTCTTTCTTTTGGCACAAACAACAGTTATATGTATACAAAGTTATAGGTACCCCAGCTTTAACACTTCTGTACCAGGGTCTGCAGGGTGCTAGACTATGAAAAAAGCTTGGTAAACAGACACTTGTAGGCTGGTATATTTTTACCAGCCCCTGCTGAATCATTTAATTGAATCAGTGCTAGTCACAGGCGCATGAAAACTCCAGTGTGTCTGGCACTCTGATGACCTCATCTCTCCCACAGTCCTACGGGGCGCTGCCGTCGTTCCAAAATGTTGTTTCTCTTCCCTATATTTTATGAGATTTCCGCCGCTGATATGTGTCATTACGATTGAAAAAGTGGCTTCTCCATGTGGTAATTAGAGGGCCGTTTGAGCGCCGGAGTCAGCGGTTAAGTGTCGGAAATGCAGTGGTGCCGTGCTGCTGTGAGAACGCATTCATGGGCAAAAATGTAAAGAAAAAAACGTGTCTGGGTATATTCTGAATGTTTGCTGATGTTATAAAGGCTGCCTATGTGCCGCTCCTCACACAGCCTCGATGTTATGTCATGGAATAAAAGCACACACAAGCTGCTACTTCCGCATGTCAAAGTTCCTTACTCAATACAGTCGCAGTCTATTTCAGTTGGGGACCAGAAAAAGGTGATTAAAGAATTCTAGCGTATACCCAAGCTTTTTTCTTTCATAAATAATACATGTTGTTTGTCCCCATAGAAAGAGTCTGCAGTATGCCAATGCAAAGACATGACAAAGGTTGAAAAATATATATAATAATAAATACATGCATGTGAAAACTAGTGATTTTGGACTTATGGATGAATGGTTCTAAGCGTTATTATTGTTTCATTTCTTGTGTTTGAACGGTTTGATTCTTTGATCTGTGTTGGCGAATCGACAACTGTGTAAAGTCCTCCGAGACTACTTCTATTGTGATTTAGGCCTATACGAATATAATTGAATTGAGTTGAATGGAATGTTTTTTAATTTAAATTGGAAAGTTTGGTATCCCAATTCTGTAAAAGGTTGTCACATAAGACTTAGAAAAAGATCCTATAACACTTTTCTTGATAAACTAAAGCCAGGATTAAGCTCCGGTTTTGCACAGTATCTTTGCACTTTTCTGGACTGAGATGTTGGATGTTTTTTTCTGGGTTCTGCTGTAGCCCACTCCTCCCGTTTGTGCATCAATAATCACCGACAGCAAGTTGATTGTGATTAATGTGAAAGTGTGGGCCATAGTCTATTTAAGAATCAACATTAGGCATTAAACACAGCACGTGAAGAGTAAAAGAACTTTCACAGAACTTGATTAACTTTATTGATTGGCTTGTTGGCCAATTAATTAACAGTATCGTGTTGCAAAGTTGTCTCAGTTTATACATTAAATCCAGCTGTAAACTAAACGCCCATTCAATATATTGATGCCAAAAAGCTTAAAAGGACTGTATGGGCTCTTACTTGTCTAATAAAGTAATTAGAACTACTATCTTACTTTTTTTTGCCAGAATCTTCCTGCCTGATACATGTAGCTGTTAATCTGGGATTACTGATGCATGTTGACCTAATATTATGAATGGTCTCTTTAAAGGAGCAGTATGTAAAAACTCAGGTTGCCAGATGTGCAGACGAATCCAGCTGGGACCATAACATCTGAATAGACAAGAATTTTGTCAACAACAAATTTACAACCAACACCTTTTTCACAAAGATAGAAATACTGGTTTTATTCCTTGTTCTGTCATTAATGATTACAGAATCCCAACAAGACCTTTTTTTAGTTCTGCGGCCACATGTTACTTTACCAGTCAGAATAGGTCGATGCGGTGAGTTCTGGCAACCCAACCCGGTTCACAGACTTTCTGATTGGTGAAACAGTGGAGGGCGGGACATCAAAATGAAAACAATAACCAGATTTAGGGGCTGTAAAACAAATTTTTAAATCCAAATATCTCGGCTGAACGACTGTTATCAGTTAAAGAAGTATGTGAAAAGAGCATTGTTTATTAATACCTTTTGACATATTAGGGCCATTTAATGATGACTTGACATGATAATCTTACATATTAAACTAACTGACTTTATTTTCGTATTCATTACAAAAATGCAATCCATATCCATGCAGTGCATTGGGAAATACGTCCTTTTGAAGAATAAGTGGCGCAGGTTTGTGCTGGCGAGACATTATATTTTAGATCGAGTTTTGATGAAACAAAGAAGAGAATGTATTTCGGGTCTAAGATTGTGACCAATCACAGCGGACCGCTGACCCCCGCTTTCGTGAGAAAAGCTACAGGTCTCTTGTAAGCACAGACAGCTGAGTTAGCACAACAAGCAGCAGAGGCTAACTTGAATCTTCCCGTGTCTCCGTTACTGCTTACACAGCGAAACATCCATCCAAAAGAAAGTCTCGTCCTCTTCTCGCTTCCCGGTTCTGTCATTCTATGGACACGCGATCCATGTTCAAAAGTGCCATATTGTTCCATATTGTGAGACACTAGCTTCGAAGCTAAGAACAGCAGAGCACAGGCTGCGGGGGAGGGGGGTAGTGAGGGGCGAAAGCTCCGTGGGTGCGAGGAGGGCGAGCAGAGAGCGCGAGGCAATCGCTCGCGTTTGAAATGTTCTCCAAATCAGTTAGTGCAGTTTTAAAACAGGGGTGTCAAACCAGTCCTCAAAGAGACGGTGTGGCTGCAGGTTTTCAATCCAACCCAGCTGGAGCACATCAGATTCCACCCATTTCCTCAAATGTATCTAGTCTTGACCTTTCCTCAAGTGAGTCTATAGTCTTAGCCTGAGGGGATGGGTGGACTCTGGTGTGCTCCTGATTGGTTGGAATGAAAACCTGCAGCCACACCGGCCCTTTCTAGAACCAGTTTGACACCCCTGCTTTGAAATGATATAGGGTTCTCTTTATTTTATACGGTCTAACAAGAGGGCTACTTTCTAATCTCTAGCACCCTCAGCACAAACACAAAATATGTTTCTTCCATCTTGTATTGGCTCGTAAACGTTGCTAATTGTATGTGACTATAAATGCAGACACGTTAAATCATAGCATAACCGAGGGGTACCCTATCGACCGCAGCTTTCCCTCCAGCCGCCGTGGCCGCGCTGGGGTGTTTGGGTAATTGATTAAGTTGGTCATTAATCAGTTTGATCTACACTGCTGCACTGCACACCCGCACACACACACACACGCACACACACACATATATAAGTCCAAATCTCTCCAAGTGCTGACATCACACATCCGGACATATGGCACCGCCCGCTCTCATCTCACAGAGTGCATTGCTGTGCCCTGGTCCGGAGTCGTCTTGCTTAAGTAGCAGATTATAGATCAGTTATTGGAGAAGACTGGGGCAGTGCTGAAATGAAAGTGCAGTTTTAAAGGCACGCGGATTATTGAGCTCTTTGGGGGAAGACACAGAGCTCCTTTGTTGGTGTGCAAGTGGAGCCCGCCAACACACTGCACATCAGATGCTATACTGCAAGGACATGATAAAATATGAGGTTATAATTGCTTGAAGTGAGTTTTATCTGAATTTGAGTACATTCTGTCTGTCTTATAACTAGTCTTGCCAATGAGACAAGCTATTTAGTCCTATTTCAAGAACTTTTGCTTAATTTTCTCATTTCAAGGAAGACATTTCTTTTATCTTTTTAAAACAAGAAATATTATCTTGGCCAATCTTGTTTTGAGGCAGACAAAATGTGTCAAAATCTTGCCAAATTTATTTATT